CAGCTTTTGTGGTTCATTGGGGCACTTTATCTTAGAATGGGATAATGAGGTGCTTTGGAGCCGCATACTAATTCCATCAAGGATGAGGAATTCTTCGAAAAGGCTCTCTAGAATATCGTACTGTTGAGATTTTCTGCATATCTTTTTTCCGAGAGAGCCTTGCGAATAAGCGTGCATCATTTGCAGCTTACGATTAGTCCCCTTTCTCAAAGAGTTTTTTAACAGGATTCTTAGCCCCGAAGGAAAAACGTGGGCTCTCACCATTAGAATCGCAACCTTCTAACCACTGCTGACAACTATGGTAGCGAGTCAAGTCAGCCGTCTGTGCGCGCAAAACCTTCGCGCTGCATGAGGGCCTCTTTCATATAAGCACAGGAGTTGTGTAATTGCTGTGATGGTAATAATTTTCGAATAGGCAAATTCGTTGACACTGGAGCGCAAGCCGGAAACAGCTCCAAAGAGAACACCTATTCCTCCTGCACCAACGCAACCATCAACAGCTGCGAATCCACCCAGAGAACCTCCACCTCAACATAGAAATTCTGTCAGGTAAATTGGTAGCTGCTGCTTTAAGTCTTGAATGAAGTCATGGAAGGCTTAAGTATTTCACATCTTTATTTACAGAATGAATTCCGAGGACACATATACGGAAGAAAAAATGAAACAAATTAGGTTATTTCTTTTACAGGTAGGAAGATTTGAAGCGCTTTTCCAGTGAAGGGGATGGCTTGCGGTGCAGTACTGCTCGAGCTCTACAGTGATACCAATTTGACCAGGGAAAGGAAACTTCTGGGTGTGTGCGTGACAGTGAAAGCAAAAGCGCGGAACTTCGCACCACCATGCCCCTCCCCCTTCTGCTGGAAATGCGCACATTTATGAAACTTTTCGACATATTTGAATTTTACTTTGATAGAGCTTTTCAAGCAAAGGTTTATCAGCATTTCAAGCACCTAATTTAGGCCGATTACCGAGCATCAGCTATGGAGATGTTGAATCACGCTACTGGGCGAGCGCGATCTCCATGGACTCAGAACATTTCCGACGGCGTCATGCGGATATCAATAGCGAATGTTCTTGTATTCGAACAAAAGTATGCGAACCCTTATCAGTTATTCAGAATCAGAACCCTGGCAGAAGTCGTGAGAATGACTCCCTTCGGTATTTAGGATAAAGTTCTAGAGGGCAGTCAGATGTGGCGCTCCTGTGAATGGAAATCACCCGACAAGAGTGCTGGGGCTTACAAATTTAGCTGCACCAGCTGTGTTGCTTTGGGTCGCTTTCTTTGATAATTCGTAGCATAAATCTGCTTGAAATTCCC